CACGCGCCACCATGCCCAGCTAATTTTTTGTAGTTTTAGTAGAGACGGGGTTTCACCATGTTGACCAGGATGGTCTCGATCTCTTGACCTCGTGATCCACCCGCCTTGGCCTCCCAGAGTGCTGGGATTACAGGCTTGAGCCACCGCGCCCGGCCACCATTTTACATTTCTATCAACAGGGTACAAGGGTTCCAATTTCTACACGTCTTTGCCAACACTTGTTATTTTCTGTTTTTTTAATAGTAGCCACATTAATGGGTGTGAGGTGGTATCTCATTTTAGTTTTGATTTGCATTTCCCTAATGGTTAATGATTTTTACATCTTTTCATGTGTTTATTAGCCATTTGTATATCATCACTGGAGGAATGGCAGTTCTTTTGCCCATTTTTTCCCTAGCTTTATTGAGGTATAATATACAGATAGTATATTTAAGGTGTACAGCTTTATATTTTGACACACACATATGCTGTGATTACTACAATTAAACACATTAATCACCACATGAATGTACCATTTTGTGTATGTAGTGAGAAAATTTAAAATCTACTCTCTTACCAAATTTAAAGTATACAATATTGTACTATACAATAATACTAATAATTCAAGTACACTGTATTGTTAAGTATAGTTACCATGCTGTAAATTAAATCCAGAATATATTCATTTTATAATTGAAAGTTTGTACCCTTTGACCAAAATTCCATTTCCTCAGCCCAGCAACTACCTATTTACTCTATGAGTTTTATTTCTTTAGATTCCACATATAAGTGAGATCATACAGTATCTGTCTTTCCATGTCTGGCTTATTTCACTTTGTATAATGCTCTGTAGGTCCATACATGTTGTTGCAAATGGCAAGATATCATTTTTTAATGCTGAATAATATTCCACTGTGCATCTATCTGTCTGTCTATCTATCACATTTTCTTTATCCAGTCATCCATCAATGGACATTTAAGTTGTTTCTACATCTTGCTATTGTGAATAATAGTGCAATGAACATGGGAATTCACCATCTTTTTGAGATACTGATTTCAATTTTATTGGATATATTCCTGGAAATGGATTGCTAAATCATATTGTACTTCCATTTTTTGGTTTTTGAGGAATCTCCATACTGTTTTCTATCTTTAACTTTTTGGTAATAGCCATCCTAACAGGTATGATATGATAACTTATTATGGTTTTGATTTGCATGTCTCAGATTAGTGATGTTGAGTACCTTTACATGTACTTGTTGGTCATTTGTATGTCTTCTTTGGAAAAATGTCTATTCAGGATCTTTGCCCATTTATAAATCATGTTATTTGCATTTTTTTGTTTTTTTTGTTATTGACCTGTATGAGTTCCTTATACGTTTTGGATATCAGCCCCGTTATCAAATATGTGGGTTGCAAATATTTTCTCCCATTCTGTAGGTTGCCATCTTATTTTGTTCAGTTTCCTTTGCTGTACAGACTTTATATATATAAATATAAATAAATATATATATATATATATTTTATTGCACTTTACGTTCTGGGGTACATGTGCAGAACATGCAGGATTGTTGCATAGGTACATACATGGCAATGTGGTTTGCTGCCTCCATCACCCTGTCACTTATATCTGGCATTTCTCCCCATGTTATTTCTCCCCAACCTCCCTACCCCCCACTGTCCCTCCCCTATTCCCCCCCAACAAACCCCAGTATGTCATGCTCCCCTCCCTGTGTCCATGAATTCTCATTGTTCAACACCCACCTGTGAATGAGAATATGTAGTGTTTGATTTTCTGTTCTTGTGTCAGTGTGCTGAGAATGATGGTTTCCAGACTCATCTATGTCCCTACAAAGGACATGAACTCATCATTTTTTATGGCTGCATAGTATTCCAAGGTGTATAGGTACCACATTTTCCCTGTCCAGTCTATCATTGATGGGCATTTGGGTTGGTTCCAGGTTTTTGCTATTGTAAACAGCACCGCAGCAAACATATGTGTGCATGTGTCCTTATAACAGAACCCTTTATAATCCTTTGGATATAGACCCAGTAATGGGATTGCTGGGTCAAATGGAATTTCTGTTTCTAGGTCCTTGAGGAATCATCACACTGTCTTCCACAATGGCTGAAGTAATTTACACTCCCACCAACAGTGCAACAGTGTTCCTATTTCTCCACATCTCTCCAGCATCTGTTGTCTCCAGATTTTTTAATGATGGCCATTCTAACTGGGATGAGATGGTATCTCAATGTGGTTTTGATTTGCATTTCTCTAATGACCAGTGCAGACTTTTTAGTCTGATGTAGTCCCATCTGTTTATTTTTTCCTTTGTTGCCTGTGCCTTTGGAGTTGTATTCATAAAATCTTTGGCAAGACCAATGACAAGGAGTTTTTCTTCCACTTTCCACTAGTAGTTTTGCACTTTTAGGTCTTATGTTTAAGTCTTCAATTCATTTTAAGTTGATTTTTGTATATATGTGAGATAAGGATCCACTTTCATTCTTTCACATGTGGATATCCTGTTTCCCAACACCATTTATTGAAGAGACTATTCTTTCCCCGTTGAATATTCCTGGCATCTTTGTTGAGGGTTAGTTAACTGCATAAGTGTGGCTTTATTTCTGGGCGCTTTATTGTCCCATTAGTTTATATGTCTTTTGTTTTGTTGTTTTATTGTAATTTAGGTTCTGGGGTACATGTGCAGATCATGCAGAATTGTTGCATAGGTACATACATGGCAAGGTGGTTTGCTGCCTTCCTCCCCCCATCACCTGTATCTGGTATTTCTCCCCATGTTATTCCTCCCCACCACCCACTGTCCCTCCCCTAGACCCCCCCAACTGACCACAGTATGTGATGCTCCCCACCCTGTCTCCACATTTTCCAATTGTTCAACACCCACCTATGAGTGAGAACATGTGGTATTTGATTTTCTGTTCTTGTGTCAGTTTGCTGAGAATGATGGTTTCCAGATTCATCCACGTCCCTATGAAGGATATGAACTCATCGGTTTTTATGACTGCATAATATTCCATAGTGTATATGTGCCACATTTTCCCTATCCAGTCTATCGTCGATGGGC